TTGAATTTGTCAATGGAGGTTCTCCTTTACGTATTGCACCACCTTTATCCCCCTTCCCCTTTATACGCCCTTGATCTTCAATCACCATTCTGTGATCTGCTTTCACACGCCCCTTGCCCCTGGACCCCCCAGGTCCATGCTCAACCACTTCAGCCCAAACCTTTTTGCCCGAACGCTGTGCCGGAGTGAGCACATCCACATCGTCCACGTCCAAGGGCACTGCCGCTCTCTTCCATGACACTCGAGCCTTTCTCCCCGCCTCCACCCGGAAGCCATCCCCTGGCACTTCCGCCACCACCGTGCCAATTTGCAACCCAGCCTCAACCTGGGTCTCTGACATGCCTCCCCCCCTCTCACCACCTGGATCCCCAGCAGCATCCAGGGCACCCACAAGCCCCTCAACTGTGACCTCTCCTGGGGTCCCTAACAGGTCGTGGAGGACTGAATCAATGGTAGCCTCCACGGCCCTGTCCTCACCCAGTGACACCACATCGTTGGTCTCCGGTGCCTGCCCGGCAGTGCATGTCTCTCTCGGAAGAGTTACACACTCTTCCTCCCTCAAGGCCTCTTCGACCTCCACACTCCAAGCCTTGTTCAAGGAAACCGACTCAGGTCGTGCCAAATTCAACGTCTCAAGGTCCTCTGATGCCTCCTTATGCTGCTCCTTCGCCTGTGTACCCTGTTGTTTAACACACTGTGCAGCAATGTAATCATAGGCACCGCATAATCGACAGGTACGTTGTTGCCCTGCGTAAGTCACCATTACTTGAGTCCTGAAGTCTTCTAGGAAAAAAATAGGAAGGAATAGGATGCCTCAATGTCATTTTTAAGGAAAAACTTCCTTCAGGCATCCCAGAATACGATCCTTCCTTCCATTTCCCCAATGTCGCCATATGAACAGTCCCAAACTTCTCGAAGGCGGCACGTAGGTCTGCCTCATTAGCCTCAAAGGGTACATTTCTGATCTTCACCCACGTATAATGGCGGGACACATCATGTAGCCTTACCGTCACTGCAGGATTCACTGGTACACAAAGATCTTGGAACCTGGCGACTATGTCCTCATATACACTTGCATTGAGAAATTTCACAAAAATTCTATATGCCCCGTTCAAGGCTACACCATACAGCCCTTCGTTGGCAATGCCATATGTGTCCCTGATGATGGCAGGTAATAAAACTTGAGCTGAGTGGGCATGCACAGCCCCACGCACCACTTCTATGCCGACAGTGTTTACCCTTCTTCTTGCCTGCTGCGCCATTTTGAGAAAACCAAGTTGTCACCGGCTGACAGCAGAGGGCAAAGCAAAGCAAACAAAGCAAACAAGTTCAGGTAAGATCCCAATGGGATGAGCGGGGAAGATGGGACAGATGAAGAATAGCTCTGGAGAGGAGTGTTCTTAGTCAGAGAAACAGAGCCAGGGCTTAACCCAGCAGCTAAGGCGATCGTGGTGCAGACTTGAGAACAGGAATAGCAGGGACTGTTGCATTGAACTTGTGGTAGTTGAAGTCTTGAATCTTGAGTAGCTGGCAGCAGGCTAGGTCACATCAGAGGGTAGAACACATATGGGAGTTATAGGAGTAACTGAGGAGGCAGGTTAGCAATGGAGCCATTTTCGAACTTTTTGAAGCTGCTTCTAGATAGGTGGTATAGTTTAGCCTTGTTACTGAAGGTGAAACGTAGAGGCTTGATGAACTCAAGAACTTGGGTGAGTGTGAAGTGAAGCGGTGATTCACAGGCATACTTGACTGTTCCAGCACCGAGGCTTTTGTAGAGTTCAGCACAGGTCATGGTGTCAGCATTTGAAGGAGAAGTGTAAAAGGTAAGGTTTTCCCATGAGGGTTTACTGGAGTCGTCGTTATCTTCCTCATCTGGAGTGAATTCATTGGGAGAATCTACAATGGTTGTAGCAGGTGACTGAGGGTCGACAGGAGCAGCTGTGAGGTGTAATGGTTGTGTAACAGCAGGCTGGGAGAGGTGGGAGACGGTGGCTGAGGCAACTTGATCAACGTTGTCAGCGGTGGAAGTGGTTATAGAAGTTACAGGAGCAGTTGCTTGGGCAGGAGACAGGTCTGCAGGAGCAGTAAAGTTCATGACGTTGGGAAGGATCTTGAGGATGTCTTCTGAAGGTGTGGAGTCCGGAAAATTGAAGGCAGGCATGTTGTTCAGACGGAATAGTTCGTTAATAGTGGTGTTGAAAGTGCCGGGGTTTGCTGCGTTTGCAAGGTGTGCATACACCATGCAGTACAGCACCTTTGAGGGAGCACCGTCGGGGAGTGGAGAGAGGGAGTTGCTGGGCGATGGTGCCTGTAGATTAGCGTGTAGAGTCTTGGTGGTGTCGGTTTGTGGTTTGGTTATTGCAGCGTATGTCTTCCATTGCAGACACTGCAAGGCTCCAGGCGGACATCAACCAAATCTTTCAGTGGGCTGCAGAAAACAATATGAAGTTCAACGATGAGAAATTTCAATTACTCAGATATGGTAAACATGAGGAAATTAAATCTTCATCAGAGTACAAAACAATTCTGGTCACAAAATAGAGCGAAACACCAACGTCAAAGACCTGGGAGTGATTATGTCGGAGGATCTCACCTTCAAGGACCATAACATTGTATCATCGCATCTGCTAGAAAAATGACAGGATGGATAATGAGAACCTTCAAACTAGGGAGGCCAAGCCCATGATGACACTCTTCAGTCACTTGTTCTATCTAGGCGGGAATATTGCTGCACTCTAACAGCACCTTTCAAGGCAGTGAAATTGCCGACCTAGAAAATGTACAGAGAAACTTTCACGGCGCGCATAACGGAGATAAAACACCTCAATTACTGGGAGCGCTTGAGGTTTCTAAACCTGTATTCCCTGGAACGCAGGAGGGAGAGATACATGATTATATACACCTGGAAAATCCTAGAGGGACTAGTACCGAACTTGCACACGAAAATCACTCACTACGAAAGCAAAAGACTTGGCAGACGATGCACCATCCCCCCAATGAAAAGCAGGGGTGTCACTAGCACGTTAAGAGACCATACAATAAGTGTCAGGGGCCCGAGACTGTTCAACTGCCTCCCAGCACACATAAGGGGGATTACCAACAGACCCCTGGCAGTCTTCAAGCTGGCACTAGACAAGCACCTAAAGTCAGTTCCTGATCAGCCGGGCTGTGGCTCGTACGTTGGTTTGCGTGCAGCCAGCAGCAACAGCCGGGTTTTGATCAGGCGCTGATCCACCAGGAGGCCTGGTCACAGACCGGGCCGCGGGGGCGTTGACCCCCGAAACTCTCTCCAGGTCTCTCCAGGAATTGGAGGTGTTCTTCAGAAACTTTAGTTTTCTTCAATATGATTTCTTTCCTGAGTGGGCACTTAGCTGCAAGGGTATGATGATTACCCTTGCAGTTAAGACATGTTGGTGCTGTAGTAATGGTGCAGGATCTGAAATCGTGTCCATCATTCCCACATTTTGAACAAAAAATTCATATCCTTGATGGGGCAGTCCTTGGTGGTGTGTTTATAGGAGTAGCAGGTCCAGCAGTGGGAGATGTATGTGAAACGTTCTTGTTCTATATGACTTGGGTGAATGTGGTAATATGAGATGGCCAGACCGTCAGAGAGAGCTTGGGCAGCCATGGAGATGTCTGAGAATGTAATCTTTAGCATAGATGAGGCGTTGGGGATCTTGGAGATGCTGTCTACCGAGGCCCAGGTGTTTTGTTCCTCAATAGATGTCTTCAGTGCTTCAGTAGAGAGAGAGGTGACGATATTGTCCAGTCTTTTCACAAAGACAGAACGTTTCGACTTCAAGAATGGAGAAGGGGATAGAGTGAATTGTTGCGTTTGTAGGGTCCTGATTGAAGAGTCGTCCATTAGTTTTAGTGCTTCCGTGTCGTCTGTGCAGACGACAATGAAGGAGTCTTTCAGAGAGTGGATTGCCGTAAATTTGACCTGCAAGCAGGTCCTTACGACGGTAGCTAAAGCTAACTTCGAGGAGTCATTTATTGCACCATTCAGAGGCTTGATTTTCACACGATTCGACAGCATTGTGAAAAGGATGTGACGTTTGTAGAATATAAATTCTACACCCCGGCGGGGTCGTCCCAGAGGTTGAGCGACGAATGTAATGAGTTATTGGTGCAATGTGCCCTATGTTAGAAACTTTAAATTCCATCTGCTTACTTTCCCCGTTATGCCTATGGCCCTCATTTTGTGTGCAATCACGCCACGATCGAATTTATTCTTTGCAAACTCTATGTACAGTGTATACGACATTGCGTGCTGGTTTTCTTCCGGTACCTTTCTAATTCTGCCATAGTGGCCTAACAAGCATGATCTTCCCGTTGTAAAACCGTGCTGGTTTGGGTTATGCAGATTGTGCTGTTCCATAAAGTTTATGTTTTGGCATTATCACTCTTTTGAAGACTTTTTATGATGTGTGACGTAAGGGTTATTCTGTAATTTTGGGCTAGCACTCTACTGCCTCCCTTATGCACAGGAGCTATGTCTGCACTCTTTAAGGTCCCTGGTATTGCACCTAGGTATAAGCTCTTTCTCCAAAGTATACTGAGTGCTTGTGCTAGTGGTTTCTTGCACTTTTGTCTTTGTCGAATTATATGGGACTTGCATTAATGCTAGTTATTCGGTCTGCGTGGCCTACAGGTGGAATGAAAAAATCTTCATTTTTCCACCCTGAGTCCTGTGAATCCTACAACCATTGGTCATGTGAACCCTACTGTCAAGGGTCATGTGAACCCTACTATCAGGGGGTCGTGTAAACCCTACTATCGGGGTCGTGTGAACCCTACTATGAGAGATCGTGTGAACCCTACTATCTGGGTCGTGCGAACCCTACTATCAAGGGGTCGTGTGAACCCTACTACCAGGGGGTCGTGTGAACCCTATCAGGGGGTCGTGTGAACCCTACTATCAGGGGGTCGTGTGAACCCTACTATCAGGGGTCGTGTGAACCCAATTATCAGGGGGTCGTGTGAACCATACTACCAAGACGGTGGTGGCAGTGACAGCCACAACGGTGGTGGCACTGAGGGCCACGGCGGCGGCGGCGACCAAGGCGGCGGTGGCGGCGACCCTGAAGGTGAATCAGCTGACCATCATGGCTGTGGCCAAATACATAGCTTTTGCTGCCTTTATTATCCTGGCTGTAAGTATCACTACTTCAAAAAATAGTGTTAAAAACAGCAACAATCAGGCCCACGCACTCGTGTATCTATAACAACATCTATAATATTCTAGATAAGATAGTTTGTGCATATATTAAACATTAACCCCAGTGGAATTCATTCCATTTGGCTTTAGGGTTGTCCACATAACACAGTGGATTATTCAGTGGAAATAAGTTACATTTTTGGTGTCGTCGGGTTATTCCACGGGTTGCTGTTGAATTGTGGGTTTAGCGCTTTGCTAAATTACAAGAAAAATGGGGGTACAAAAGAATGTCTAACCAAAAAAAAAGTCAAAACCCTTCTGTTCGGTGAAAAACTTAAACAGGAAAACAAAATACATCAGTGTTTCACGCGAGATGGGAAAATACTAGTAAGGAAAACATCAACAGGACAACAATATACTATCTCAAATGAACACGATTTCTCTACCTTCCTTAGAAAAGCTGACATTTTTGTAACAGATTAGATAAGTGCCCTTAATACATATATACGTGTGGTGCATATAGTGTACGTTACTATTATATTGTACATTATTATTTTTATAATTTTTCATCACTAGCAAATGAAATACCTCCAATACTCTATACTTCTTTCTTACTACTATAAATTGCTCATAATTTTAAATTACAAGTCAAATCTTACTCCAAATTAATAATATTCATTATTCTTCCCTGTCCATTTAATTTTGTTTATCACTACTTGTTTTTTAGTCACTTTTTATTGTGTATGCAATTAGTGTATATTCCAATTACTTTTTTGCAAGTACCAAAACTATCTTTTGCTAGCTAGTACCAACTACCTCATTTTTTTTACTTTTATTGTGCAATAAACTGCTCAATTTATTTAATATTACAAATCAGTCTTACTCCTAAACCAATATTATTTCATAGTGACCACCTGTCCATTTAACTTTGTTTACCATTACTTAATTTTTAGTCCCTCATATATTTTCTCCTTTATTTTAGCTTTATAAAAACTACCCTAGTTTATACATTCACAATTGTTAAAATAATCAAGGTGCTATTCTCAGGTGCTAAAGTAGAATAAGTTCACAACTTTGCCATTATATTCCAAAACTACCTTAGCTCATTATTTTACATTTGTTAAATAATTCAGGTGCTATTTTTTAGCTTAAGACTATTTACTTTGTTTTTATACTTAATTCTAACTATAGATTCACTAACAAATCTTATGATTACAAGCATTGATCCTGATACCAACCTCTTATTTAATGACTTAAATGATTCAAACAGTTACTGTAATTACTACACTGCAGAACAATCAAAGGCACTTCCCCAGTGCCAAAAAACAACATAACTATCTTTAACTACAATATCAGATCTTTAAGCAAGCATTACGATGACCTCATAGCATTACTAAATTCCTTACATGCCAATATGTCCATCATTCACCTAACTGAAACCTGGCTAAAGCCTGATAGTACAGATGTCTATGCCATTCCTGGTTACACAGCCATACACAACTGTAGGCCAGACCAACAAGGGGGTGGCACAGCCATATACTACTCAGACCAACTAGAATGTATCACTAATACTTGCACAAGGGATGAACATGGGGAATATATAATAGCCAAATTCAAATCCAAATACCTACAAAAACCTCTCACATTGATAAACATTTACAGAGTTCCACAGTAAAAACATTAGCCAATTTAGTCAAAACCTAGGAAGTATGATAACTGATGCACGCATGAACAAAGATCACTTACTACTCTCAGGTGACTTCAATATAAATCTCCTGCAAGACCAGGACCCACACGTTACTGAATTCACAAACACAATGAGTAACTGTATGTTGCTACCAACAGTAACAAAACCTAAAAGGGAGTTACAGGGGACTAGTGTTTCCCCTACTTGACCACATCTGGACCAACACCATATCCCCTTTAAAATCAGGCATAATTACAGATAATACCACAGCCCACTACCCTACTTTTCTCATAACAACTCTTGGTAAATTACCCCAAGACACTATTAAAGTCACCTTCAGACTTCACAATGAGGCAGCCATTAATAACTTCACAACAGCAGTAGCAAACATTGACTGGCACACTGAGCTAGAAATCTATACAGATATTGACGAATGTATTAATAATTTTCTAAAAAAGACCCAATACCTCTATAACAAGCACTGCCCTAAAAAAACTAAACAGATGACAGCTAAGAGGACTGAACAGTCCCTGGTTAACACCCAGCATTCTCAAATCCATAAATACAAAACACCAATATGAAAAACAGTACAGAATGGGTCACATAACCAGAGACCAAACAAAACGTTACTCGTCAATCCTAACCAGCCTGATAAGAAGGGCAAAAAAATTGTATTATGAGAACAGATTATCCAACTTACGAGGTGATATAAAAAAGACCTGGAAAACCCTATCAGAAATTCTAGGAACAAAAAAGATATCACGAAATAGCGAAATAAAATTAGCAAAATCAGATTGAACCCCAAACTCCCACCAACAGAAACAGCAAACAGACTCAATGACTTCTTCTCCACTATAGGACAAAACCTTGCCAATAAAATCCCAAGCTCAGATCCCCCACCAAATGACTACCTCACTGGCAACTACCCGAACACACTGTTCCTAGCTCCGACTAACCCATACGAAGTCTCCCTTATTATCAACACGCTAAAAAACAGGGCAGGAGATTTAAATACCTTACCACCCTTTATATACAAAAAGTGTCACAAGTGCTATCACCAATCATTGCAACACTCTTTAACAATCCATTGAATCCTCCACCTTCCCCACAGTACTCAAAATAGCAAGGGTCACCCCGATCCACAAAGGAGGAGACCAAACAGAGTTGAATAAATATAGGCCAATATCCAACTTACACCCTCTCTCAAAAATCTTCGAAAAATTAATTCATAAACTGAATCTACTCCTACCTTATCTCCCAAAACATACTCAACCCTGCCAATTTTGGATTCAGGCCAAATAAAAATACTAATGATGCTATTATACACATGCTAGAACATATATACACTGCAATAGAGAAAAAAGAAGTCCCACTGGGGATCTTCATTGACTTACGTAAAGCTTTTGATACAGTTAACCATGACTTGCTCCACGTAAAATTGTCACACTATGGTATAAGAGGGCACTCCCTCAACTACCTCAAGTCATACCTCAGCAACAGAAGCCAATATGTGTATGCAAATGGGGCAAACTCTTCTGCACAACCAATTACAGTTGGTGTCCCACAGGGAAGTGTCCTTGGCCCTCTTCTCTTTCTCCTATACATAAATGACCTACCAAATGCTTCGCAATTACTCAAACCCCCACTATTTGCAGATGACACTACATACGTCTTCTCCCACCGAGCCCAGTCACGCTAGCCAATACTGTAAATACAGAATTACAGAAAATATCTACCTGGATGAGGACTAACAAACTTACACTAAACATTGACAAAACCTACTTCATTCAGTTTGGTAACAGAGCTACAGATGTCCCTCTTAACATAATGATAAACGGATCACCTATCACAAAGCTAACAGAGGGAAAATTTCTTAGGAATCCACCTTGATAATAGACTCAAATTTCATACACATATACAACAAATTTCTAAGAAAATTTCCAAGACTGTAGGCATACTATCGAAGATACGGTACTATGCTCCACAGTCAGCCCTCCTGGCCCTATATCACTCTCTTATTTACCCTATCTCACCTATGGGAAATTTGTGCATGGGGCTCAACAACAAGTAACCATCTCAGACCACTAATTACCCAACAAAAGGCTGCAGTTAGAATGATAACAAATTCTCACTATAGGCAGCACACTCCACCAATATTCAATACACTAAACCTATTCACCATACAAAACATTCATACTTATTACTGCACCTATTACATACATAGAACACTTAACTCTGTATTAACCCTCCCCTCAAACATCTCCTTGCCAACCTCAACAGAACACATGACCATAACACAAGACACAGATCACTCTTTGATGTTCCTCGTGTCCATCTCACACTATGCAAAAACTCAATGCCATAAAAGGCCCTAAAATCTGGAACTCATTACTGTAAATATAAAAGAAACACTACCTGTTTATAAATTCAAGTCTCTTCTCAAAGATCACTTACTCACCCAAAACCAAATAAATACTGAATAACTGAACCTTATAAATTGTATATCTTAAATGTTTCTCACAATTATATCACATAAATGTTAAACCTAAAACCCAATCTAACTTTATTATTTTTTAAATACACTACCTAACAGAATACTCCATTCTACTGAATGTACAACAATGCATACAACCATATGACCTGTCTTTGTAATACTCACTTGTGCTTTATAGTAATCTGTTTACATTAAAGTTTTATCACCGATGTCATCATTGCTTAGTTCATCTTAAGTTAATTTTAAGCCAGCCCGTAATGCTATGCATAGTATAAGTGGCTTTGGCATACTGCTCTTTTCTGTATTTTTTGTACCTCTGTATGTGTGCACAAATTTTTAAATAAATAAATAAATAAAATAAATTATCCACTCTGGGTTCATCTACGTAATTTACCGTAGAAAATTATTATAAAGTTTAAAATCGTGTATGAAACCTAAATAATAAATTCACATACCGTGAGTTAGTCTAATGTGCAGCTTCTGGACCAATAATAATGTATTTAAAGTTATTATTGTAGAAATTTTGCAGGAGTCTGTAATTACAAAAAAAGTAAAGGCTAATGTTTACTTTAGTGCTGGGTTTTTATAATGTAAATTCTTCACTATTAGGTGGATTGTACAATAAAGCTTGATAAAGCTCCTGGAGGGCGAAACGTTGCCACAGTAAAATGCCACATTAGTTGCATTTGTGTCCTTTTATTTAACAGCAATATTTTATCTAAATGGAACAATGAAACCAAAAACAATGCAGCAGGCCTACAGGCCTATGCTAGGCAGGTCTAACTCTCACCCACTAATACACCTGTCCAACCTA